GGCGCAGCCAGATCTCCTCGTGCAGGCTGCCCTGCAAGAAAGCTGTGCTGAAGTCAAGCGAGTGAAGCTCGTAGTCACGCTGGGCGGCAACGTGCAGCAGTACCCGAAGAGTGGTCATCTTCGGGGTGGGGGAGAAGGTCTGGAAGAAGTCAACCCCCTCTCGCTGACTGAAGCCTCGAGCAACGTAACGTGCCTTGAAGACAGGCGGAGAACCAGGCGGCCGCTTCACCCTGAAAATCCACATGCCACTGACGATGTTCGCCCCAGGAGGGGGAACGTCGTCGACGTAGGTGCCTGTGGACTTCCAGGATGCCATCTCTGCGTCCATGGCTGCCTGCCACTGAGAGGAGTAGGGACCCGCGACCGCCTCAGCGTACGAGCGCGGGGTGGGGATGTCTAGTGCATCCGGGTCTCCCTCAGGGGCAAGCAGCATGGTCACGAGATGAGGCGCAGCGGTTGCAAGACACTCAAGGTCCTCGTGCCTGTCCTCAAGGACGTCCGTGCTAAGAGCACACTCACCCCCGACGGACGGAGGACAGACAGACTCAGACTCAGCGACAAGACTAGCAGCGTAGTCTAGACGACAGGCAGCCGCAAAGTCAACAAGCTCAGCAACCAAAGCAGTCGCAGCAGCAGACTCAAACGAGGGGTCAGTGACAACAGTGGCGAGCAGACGCGTGACAGTAGGGTGCTCAGCACGAAACCAGTCAGACTCAGGGTCCGGAACGTGAGGCAAGGAAGACGCAGGAGGAGACGGCAGAGAAACAGACTGCGGAACAGAGGAAGGACGACGGACGACAAGGTGTGCGGTGGGGACAGGCGGCGAACGCGGACGCGGAACACGACGACCGGTACGACTAGGACGAACAGGCGAGACAGGACGCGACGCAGGCTCACGACGCTCAGCAAGACTACCTGTCTGCTCAGTATAAGGAGAAGGAGCAGGCAGCGGTGAGCCAGGCTGTAACGAAAGACCAGTAGACGACGGGAGAGTAAGAACCTGACGAAGAACAGAGTCAGGCGGCGGCAGAGACGACGGAGACGGCGGAGCGAAGAACAGTCGTGGCGGCGCAGCTGCACCAGTACCGGCAGCTCCAGCAGCTCCAGTACCCCCAGCAGCTCCAGCACCTCCAGCAGCTCCAGAAGCTCCAGCAGCAGAACCGACACCTCCAGGCCCAGGGTCTCCAACCCCAGTGCCTCCAGCAGCAGCACCCCCAGAACCAGTACCTCCAGTCCCAGGGTCTCCAGCCTCCACGTCTCCAGCGGGCAGCGTGCGTGACTTAGGTCTGCGCGGTAGCAGCAGCAGACAACACAGTAGGCAGCAGGCAGTAGGCTACAGGCAGACGGCGCGCGCAGCGCAGCACGTCACAGGCACAGGCACAGGCACAGGCGTGGGGTAGCGGTAGGTGGGCCCGAAAAAAAACGGTCCTACGGACCTACTGCTCTGATACCATGTTAGAATCTAGAGACAAGAATGAATGCATTGATGAAGAGTTGGGTACATAAGCTAACCCTAACATTGGGTTGTACCCCATATGGGCTACCCCACTAGCAGCCTACACAAACACAATATGCATAGTTTGACATCCTATTCACCTCCAAGCCCCACCATAAGGCACATGACTCCTCATGTTTTTCCATGTGCTTTCCTCTCCTACTCTTCAAAGATTACCCAAGTCATCTACTTCCTACAATTATCCTCCTCCCATGAGCCTTCAAGCACATGCCTCTATTTCCTAGTCATCAACCTCCACATGCTTCTCATTTATTCCTTCTTTCCTTTCTTTGCCAAGTCACCAAAGTTGCCACCTCATCTCCAAGGACCTTATGATTACTACCTCACCTCCCTTACCAAGTCACCAAAGCTATCCTATCTCCTCCACTCATCCCTTCACAAGTCACCAAGTCCTCTTCCAACACTACAAGGCCTACAACTCCAACTCAACAAGTGCTCAACCACCACCACATGCTCTACTACTATTCAACTCCAACAACCATCTCCACAATTTCTCAATAAGTTTCTTCAATGACAACAATGCTTCTCGAGCTTCTTCATCAAGCTCCTCTCCAAGCTCCTTCCCAAGCTTCTCGCTCAAGCTCCTCTTCAACTACAAAGGCTCCTCACTAGCAACCAAGTTCAATGTCTCCAAAGTTGATACTCTCATGCAACTCGCTTCCAAGGCTACCATTTGATGGTTACTCTTTTTTTGCATGCCTATGTATCCCTCATGGATGTATAAGGCTTGTACTTCTCTTAATATAAGTTTATGCTGAAAAGGTCTCTCTCATCTAGTCTACAAAGTTACTCAAGCAAAGATTGCTCTCCCTCATACTCCCTAAGAGTACCGTAATTACCCGACTAATATGCCCCCCAAAATTGTAGCCCCCCGGGTCGTTAAATGGGGGCGGGTCTAATCCTAGCTGCACTTTTGTAATAATCCCGTTTTTTTTTTAACGGATTCGCATTAGACCCCCCCTTCTGTAAACACCCTCCAGATCGAGTGAAATAGTAGGAGGAAAAAATCAACCGAGACTGCAATTTCCGTCTGACAGCAGTCAATCGCCACGCGCTGGTCTCGCGCACGCGCGTGGTCAATTTTAGCCCCTGATGCGACATGGGAAAAACAACACATGGGATTAAACATCGGGTTTAATACATTTACACCTTGATAATAAATACACCCCATAATTTTACCCGGGGTAGGATAAAACCTGGGGGTGCATTAGTCGGGTAAATACGGTACCGTATCCCCCCGGATAGTAGCGCATATGCGCTTATAATAAAATTAAAAATTTAAAGGGGGGCGCTTATAATTGAGTTTCGGGCATAAGCGCATGTGCTTATAAAATAACAAATACAAATTTATACCTTTAGGGTAGCAAACTGTACCTTTCATTGTTGCCATTTCAATTGAGTCGAAATAATAGAGCGTCACAAAGCAGAATCGCGCCGAAGCGATTCTGCTTCCTGCACACAGGCAAATTCGCGTCACTGTGCAGGCATGCCAGCACATCCTGACTGGACGCGCAGCCAGTTAGGTCTTCGCGAGTCAAACGAAGCGAAAATGAGATTTGACTCGCTGCAAAAATGAAATTCGTTACCGTTTTGTACAGAATTTTATATAAACAATGTATGTGCGTTTATAATAAGTAAAGGTTTCCTAGGGGGGGCGCTTATAATTGAGGACCGGCCATAAGCGCATGGCTCCAGATAGAAGCGCCGGCGCTTTTAATAGGACGGCGCTTTTATCCGTGTCAGAGGTCCACTGGTGATCCCCGATTGATCCTAGGGAAGGGTTACAGGCACGTTGGCCTGGGGGGTTATGGGCGCACTCACCCGCTACATAAACAAGCCCTTTTATCCCAGTGGTTAGTGGCTGTGATTCTGACATGTTATCAGAGCGAAGGTCTCGGGTTCGAATCCCGGTGTGTGCACCTCGGGCATCCCAGTGCGGGGGGGTGTCAGAGGTCCACTGGTGATCCCCGATTGATCCTAGGGAAGGGTTACAGGCACGTTGGCCTGGGGGGTTATGGGCGCACTCACCCGCTACATAAACAAGCCCTTTTATCCCAGTGGTTAGTGGCTGTGATTCTGACAATCCGGGGTGATACGGTATCAGGAAGCTACAAGCTACAACCTTGCCTGATTCTCTCGACAGTACCATCACCTATCACAAGGCTTGAAGCTCCTCCCAACTTAAGTCTTCAAGTTGAAGATCTTCTCCTAAGCTACTTCTACAACTATCTCTAGTAAGATCCACTCAAGTAAGCGTCTACACTTTTCTTATTCTTTCAACAAGCTTTCATTCTCTTGTTTCTCTTTGAGTTCTTATTCCATCAAGCACTTCATCTTATACAAGTTTCTCTTTATAGTTACAAGCTTTAAGCATCATTCTCTCTTTTATCAAGCACATAACTCCTTCATCTACATATGCTACAGTTCCACTATTCACTCTTGTCCTATTCTAGTATGCAATCATACTCTTTTGTCTTTATCTCAATTCTCTACTGGTATCAGAGCTACTTAACTTCTCGAAAAATTCTCGCCCAATCAACATTTCTCATCCAATCCCTCTGAACCCGCAAAGCAGGCCTCTCGTTATCAGGGTAAAATACCCTTTTTGCACTGACTGGCGGCCGCTTTTTTTCAGTTACCCTTTCACAGGCAGGGTAGTGGATTTTTTACCCTAGGCCAGAAAGTGTGGGTTTTTTTTGTACCCTTTGAAAAACAGCGTAAGGAACATACTTCTCTGACTGTACAGTGTACAATCCCAGTTACACTGATTCCGAATGCTCCGTAGCGAGGCGAAACCCTATACGGGCCCCTGCAAAACGTCCCAGTTACGACACTCGAACCCGCAACCATTTCGGATCTAACTTGTATCTGAACCAATTGAGCCACTATGTGCTATACATGCTCACTTTGGCATTATCCATAGCAGTGTTTTTAAAAAATTACCCTGGCCAAACAGACTAACATTTTTTTACCCTGCATTTGTCAGGGTGAAAAAAAAAATTACCCTACCCATCAGGGTTGACTACCTGGAACCCTGATTACTAAGGGTGGCCCAAAACGAATCTGAAGCCCTGCCGCAAAGTCCCAAGCGGGGAAGTTCCCAGCCTCTCTGCTCTTGTTGATCGAGCCTCTTGTCGAGACGAATCTACTTATAAAGAAACTCACAAAGTAGGTAGAATGGCACGAACTCAATTGCTAGTAAGAGTAATTCCAGTAATGGTGAAAAAATGGATGCAAAGTGGATAAGATCCTCAACAGGGACAGGAAACCCTGGGTATACCAAACAAACAAACTTACTTGTCAATTTCTCAAGGATTCAAAAGTAAATTTTCCTGAAACTTCAAGGAGAAGGGCTCGTCAATCTGCTACAGAAATGCTGCCAATAACCGCATCTTTGGCTTCCCTAAGTGGGAGCTGCTGACTCCCATGATCCCATCACAGAGGTGCCACTCCAGACACTCTCCCATTCCTCTCCAGGGGCTCTCTAGGGCATTTGCGGAGGCTCTTCTCTCCAGGGCTGGCTGGTGTCTGCAGGGGCTCTCAGCACAGAAGTGGCACAAGAAAGAGCTCTGCAGCAGACAACAAGGTAGACAAGAGGCACAGAGATGGATAGTGGAAGAACAGGGGCTGGTCTCTGCAGAGCAGAACAGGGGCTCTCAGCACAGAAGTGGCACAAGAAAGAGCTCTGCAGCAGACAACAAGATAGACAAGAGGCACAGAGATGGATAGTGGAAGAACAGGGGCTGGTCTCTGCAGAGCAGAACAGGGGCTCTCAGCACAGAAGTGGCACAAGAAAGAGCTCTGCAGCAGACAACAAGATAGACAAGAGGCACAGAGATGGATAGTGGAAGAACAGGGGCTGGTCTCTGCAGAGCAGAACAGGGCCTCTCAGCACAGCAGTGGCACAAGAAAGAGCTCTGCAGCAGAAAACAAGGTAGACAAGAGGCACAGAGATGGATGGAGGCAGAAGATAGACAGGAGGGAGAGGGGAGGCATGAGGGTCGAGACTCGAGAGGAGGGGGAGAGGGGAGAGAGGAGGGGGAGAGGAAAGAGAGGCTTTGAAAGGGTTTCCCAACATAGCAGTGGTAGTGGAGGGGTTCTGGAGTAGACAAGGCGAGAATCAACAACTAGGAGACGGGGAACATGGCGGAAAGGAATGGGAGAGCGTGAGGGAGGCCAGGACAGGAGGGAGGGAGGGAGGGAGGGACGTGGAGAGGCGTATGGAGGACCGGGGCATATGGAGGACCGGGGCATATGGAGGACCGGGGCATATGGAGGGCCGGGGCATATGGAGGACCGGGGCATATGGAGGATCGGGGCATATGGAGGCCCGGGGCATATGGACGACCGGGGCATATGGAGGACCGGGGCATATGGAGGACCGGGGCATATGGAGGATCGGGGCATATGGAGGGCCGGGGCATATGGAGGGCCGGGGCATATGGAGGGCCGGGGCATATGGAGGACCGGGGCATATGGAGGACCGGGGCATATGGAGGACCGGGGCATATGGAGGGCTGGAGCATATGGAGGACTGGGGCATATGGAGGACCGGGGCATATGAAGCCCGAAGTCGTTGCGAGAGGGACGGCCATTCGGAGGCTTTCAGAGTAAAGGGGAGGCTACTGCGGCTGGCATTTGCCGTAGATAGCACGGTAGCCCTTGGGGCACTGGCATGCCACTCCCTCACTATAATCGTTGCCCTTAATGCACGTTGAAGGCAAGGGCTTACAGGAGAGAGGGGAGGCTATTGCGGCTGGCATTTGCCATGGACTTTACGGTAGCCCTGGGCGCACTGGCATGCCACCTCCTGCCTGTCGTTTGTCTTGATGCACGTGGAGTGTTGAGGGCACTTGACACGGCTGCAGATGTCGTCTGGATGATAGAGCACGGAGGCAGACAACAAAAGAGAGGGATCGGGGGTGAGACAACTTTGAGTTGGCTGAAAAGCCACCTCCATGCTGTCGTTTGTCTTGATGCACTTGACTCGGCTGCAGATGTCGTCTGGATGACATGGGAGGATGGGAGGTGAGGGATGGGATGGGAGGAAATGGCATGGGGGAAGAGGGATGGGATGAGGCATGGGGGGAGAGGCAAGCAGGAAAGAATGGGGGGTGAGGCATGAGGAAAAGAATTGGGGGAGAGGCATGGGGGAAGAGGCACGTGGGGGAAGGAATGAGAGGAGAGGCATGACTTATGAGGAAGAGCGGCATAAATTGCAGCAGGAAGCGCATGCATGGCAGCAGCAGGGCACCGGTGGAAGCTGCGAGTGATGTTTCTTCAATGCGATGTATGAGCATCAGGGCATGCATTGTAATAGCTGCAGAGGTGAATGCATGGCAGAAGCAGAGAGGTGAATGGAGGGCAGCAGAGAGGTGAATGAAGGGCAGCAGAGAGGTGAATGGAGGGCAGCAGAGAGGTGAATGAAGGGCAGCAGAGAGGTGAATGAAGGGCAGCAGAGAGGTGAATGAAGGGCAGCAGAGAGGTGAATGAAGGGCAGCAGAGAGGTGAATGAAGGGCAGCAGAGAGGTGAATGAAGGGCAGGGCAGCAGCAGGGCACTCACCGACAACGCAGCGGATGGACTTCACTGATGCGCCCATCATGAACGCACTGCTCACACAGACATGCACAGGGGGAGGGGTGGGGCACATGATGGGAGGGGCTTTAGAGTCAACTTAAAAGTCAACTCAAAAGTCAACGCTGAAGAATCTTGAACGCAGCGGATGGACTTCACTGATGCGCCCATCTTCAACGCACTGCGTGCACAGACATGCACAGGGGGAGGGGCGCACTGGGAGGGGCGCATTGGGTGGGAGTGTCGTGTTGCTGGGAGCACCAGCCGCCGCCAAAGGGTGGGACACATGCGCATGCGCGCCAGTAAACAAACGGGTGAATCTTGAAACTGGGCATTTCACCTCGGTTGCCCCGCCAATGCTCACCTCAGGTACCCCATGAAAGGGTATTTCACCGCCACAGTACCCGAGCAGTCGGGCGACGCGAACAGCTGCACCATGCAGTCGGGTGAGCACTCACCTCATGTCCCTTGTGTGGTAAACCGTGTTTTGGTACTTTGCCACTGCAGCACCCGAGCAGTCGGGCGACGCGAACAGCTGCACCGCGTCGCACACCGTGCGATCGAAAAACGGGTCACCCAAAAACACGTCCCACCACACCAGCGCGTCCACCTCACCGCCGCCGCCACCGCCCGCGCCGCCGCTCACCGTCCCCTCCAGCGCGTCCACCGCGCCTCCTCCACCGTCCACGTTGCTGCTCGCCATCCCCAGCGCCGCTCCACCCCCCACCGCGTCCACCGCGGCGCCGCCACTTGCGCCGCCGCAGCTGCCGCTCGCACCACCGTCTACACTCGCGCCGTCGCTGCTCGCGGACGCGACTTGATGCACATGTACGGCTTTGGGCACCAACACGCAGCGCTCAAAGTCGAAACGGACGGAGCGAGGTTGCGCGAGCGAGCCGAGGAGCATCACCGTCCCCATTCGCACATAACGCCGAATCAGATTGCTGGCTGCAGCGGCATTTTCTCCCATGGCTGCAAGGAGAGAGAAGGGCGAAGACAGAAAGGAAAGGGGAACGGTCGGAACGAGCGAGCCGAGAAGCATCACCGTGCCCATTCGCACATAACGCCGTATCAGATCGCTGGCTGCAGCGGCATTTTCTCCCATGGCTGCGAGGAGAGAGAAGGGCGAATTTTTTAGGCGCCTCAAAAATCACCTCAATGCACGTGACATTTTCTCCAGTTTTGAGGCGCCTAAAAAAAACCGCGCGAGAGAAGTCTAGTTTTGAGGCGCCTCAAAACTATTTTCTCCCATGGCTGCGAAGAGAGAGAAGGGCGAAGACAGAAGGGAAAGGAGAACGGTCGGAACGAGCGAGCCGAGAAGCATCACCGTGCCCATTCGCACATAAACCCGCACCACCGTCGCGAGTTGACTCTTGAGTCGAGTCAAAAGTCAACCCACGCGCACATAAACCGTCACCACTGACGCGGTCACGCCCCATCTACCACTCGAGTCGTGCCTTTAGTGGCTGGTGCTCCCAGCGCCACTCCCACCTCACTCGCTGCACGGACCTCACACGTCACTCGAGAAAGGGACAATGGCAAGACATGTCACACAGGGAAAGGCACAAGTCACGCCCGTAGTACCAGTAGGGTCAGTGCTGCCGCCGCCAGCAGTCGTCCCTTTGATGTCAGGTTCTCTTAGCGCCAGCAACACTCCCACCTCACTCGCTGCGAAGACATCACACGGAGAAGGGAGAATAGCAAGACACGTCACACAGGGAAGGGCACAAGTCATGCCAGTAGTACCAGTCAGGTCGGTGCTGCCGCCATCAGCAGTCGTCCCTCTGATGGCCGGTTCTACCAGCGCCAGCGACACACCCACCTCACTTGCTGCGAAGAGGTCACACGGAGGGGAAGGGAGAATGGCAATACAGGGGGGGCATTACACAGGGAAGGGCACAAGTCACGCCCGTATTACCAGTCGGGTCGGTGCTGCCGCCGTCAGCAGTCGTCCCTTTGATGGCCGGTTCTACCAGCGCCAGCGACACTCCCACCTCATTCGCTCGAAGACGTTACATGGAGGGGAAGGGCGAGCAGGAAGTGACACGGGGAAGGGAGAGCAGGAAGTGACATGTGGAAGGAAGAGCAGGAAGTGACACGTGGAAGGGAGAGCAGGAAGTGACATGAGGAAGGGCGAGCAGGAAGTGACACGGGGAAGGGCGAGCAGGAAGTGACATGGGGAAGGGCGACAGTCAGCGACAACGAAATTTCGACCTCACTCGCTGCGAGGACGCTACACGGGGAAGGCGGAACGCCGAGTAAGTAACCAGAGGATTTTTTAGTCGGCCAAAGATACGAATGTGAAAGGAGCGATTTGTAAAGCTTTTCAAGAGTTTTCATTTTTTACGGGTATTGCGAGGGAGGGAGGCGACGAGGGCGGGGAATCGCGTACCAATGAGGATGGCGACAACTTGAAGCGCGGCAGCGGCCTTCAAACCTCCCATGCTGATGCCGCGGTGGTGCTCGAGGTGGTGCCGAAAGAGGCTCCGCAAGTAGCGGCGAGGGGTGGTAGTAGCCTTGGGCGAACGGGAGTGGAAGAGAATCCGTCGAGTCGGCAGCGAAGGCGGTGAGTTTCGAGTTTTGAGTTTCGAGTTTCGAGTTTCGAGTTTCGAGTTTCGAGTTTTGAGTTTTGAGTCGGCTTAAACAGCAATACTGCAGCGACGAAGGCAGGGTGGCTAGTGCGCGTCGGAGCCGCACGAATGCTATCAGTGATAGTCAACGAGGTGAGTGCGTGTTCCCAGCGAGGCCCTCTACTACATATATATGCTTTAAAGCGCCTCGCTGACTATCAGCACTAAGGCGCGCTCCAGCAGCGAGGTGAAGCGCCTTAGAGCGCGCGTATTCTGAACGGCACGTTTTCGATACTCCCCGTGCGACTAGTGGTTGCGATGGCAAGGATTTTCGATACTCCCCGTGCAGTGCAGCTCGCGACTCGAAATCTCGCCCGCCAACGGCGCTGCAAAAATTGTTTCCGACTATCCGCACGCCCATACCGAGGGGCCCCTGAGAGTACATAATCTCTGCGACGCAAGGAAACCGCGAGTGTGACTCCCATAGTCCGTCTACGCAATCGCGTTCTGGTTGGCTCCCTGCATTGCGGGAAACTCGTGGACTAGCAACAACGGCTGTGTTGGTCCGACTTGTGCGCGTGCCCTGAGGTGCTGTGCTGTGTGGGGCACAGTTGATATGCTGGTGGTTCCCCATTCGCTTGTTTCTTTCATCCTGAGACAGTTCTTGCTAGTTTTAGGGGAACTCAGGAAGCGGACAAGAATGGCAGAAACTCAATTGATATTTAAATAGATTTGCAAAATGTAATACCGTATGGAAAGAACAAGGTCCTAAATCAGGTTTACTAGACTGAATTACTCTTAACTCTAAAAAAAACAGAGAGTGTTTTGGGGGTCGCACTGATGGCCCAGTTTATGTTTTACCCATCGACTTCCTCTCTATTGTCGAAGTTTCATCTTGATCAAGTCCCTATCCTTGTGCAATTTGGGCCTCAAGCCATGCCAGATATTCTACATGCAACTATCGCAGAAAGGGTTGTTTATAAATATGGAGGCACTTCAGACTTCAGGAGGTCTTTGGATAGCGTAAAAATGTTGCACGAAGCATCCTTTTCAACATCCTCATCTAATACCGTGATTCACAATTTCACACAATCAAACGACTGGTAACCGGTCACAATGAACGGGCACTCTAATCAAAGTAAGTTGGGCAGTCCTGGCCAAAGAATTATCAACCCGTCTCCTCCAGTTCCCCCAAGCTGCACCCCCGGACATCCGTAGCAGCACTGCCACTCCAGGCGCCCACTATGCTAACCCACTCTGCTGCAATTCAGGGGTTCTATTTTTATTTATCAAGGGGTTGTGCTGTGACAGCATAGCAGTGGCGCTGGAGGGCTCTGCATGCAATAGACAAGGCGAAAATGCATGTTTAGCACACAGATGCATAGTGGCAGAAATTGGAAGCAGGGAGAGGGAGAGGGAGAGAGGAGAGGGGGGAGAAAAGAGATGGGGCGAGAAGGAAAAGGCAGAATGGAGTGGGAGAGAGGGAGGGAGGAGAGGGTGGGAGGGATTAGACTTTTGAGTCGACTCAAAAGTCAAAAGGCAGAATGGAGTGGGAGAGAGAGAGGGAGGAGAGGGTGGGAGGAGAGGCAGAGGGGCAGGTGGAAGAGGGAGGGATGTAGGATGGGACAGGAAGAGAGAGAGGGGGAAGGATGAGGATAGAGGGTGCGGGAGATGCAGAGTGGAAGAAAGGGCTTACAGAGGGGACGGGAGGCTATTGGGGTTGGCATCTTGCGTAGACTCCACGGTAGCCCTGGGGCGGCTATTAGAGTTCCACATCCCACTCAAGGCGAGAGGCAAGGATTTTGAGGAGGCTTACAGGTGAGAGGGGAGGCTACTGGGGCGGTGAGAGGGACGCTATCGGGGCTGGCATTGACCGTAGACGTTTCGGTAGCCCTGGGCGCACTGGCATGCCACCTCCTGCCTGTCGTTTGTCTTGATGCACGTGGAGTGTTGAGGGCACTTGACACGGCTGCAGATGTTGTCTGGATTGAACCGAAGAGAGGCACAATGGGAGAGGTGTGGTGGCAGGAATGAGGTGAGATGCATGAAGTATAGAGGAGAGATGCATAAGGGGAGAGGTATGGGGGCAGGAATGGGGTGAGACGCATGCGGTGAGAGGCATGGGAAAAAGCGGCTTGAATCGCAGCGAAAAGCGCATGCATGGCAGCGGAAGGGCACGATTTGCCGCAGCGACTGCTGCTATTGCATAATCAGGACTGCAGCAGCATGCACGGCAGCAGCAGGGCACGCATGGTGACTGTTGGTAAGCGGAGTAGAAAAGGCCAATGCACGGTAGCAGCAGGCATGGTAGCAGCAGGCATGGTAGCAGCAGGCATGGTAGCAGCAGGCATGGTAGCAGCAGGCATGGTAGCAGCAGGCATGGTAGCAGCAGGCATGGTAGCAGCAGGCATGGTAGCAGCAGGCATGGTAGCAGCAGGCATGGTAGCAGCAGGCATGGTAGCAGCAGGCATGGTAGCAGCAGGCATGGTAGCAGCAGGCATGGTAGCAGCAGGCATGGTAGCAGCAGGCATGGTAGCAGCAGGCATGGTAGCAGCAGGCATGGTAGCAGCAGGCATGGTAGCAGCAACAGCAGGACACGGCAGCAGCAGGACACGCATGGTGATTGTTGGCAAGCGCAGTAGACAGTCCAACGCATGGCAGCAGCATCGGCATGCATGGTGATACATGACAATAGCTGGAGAAAGGTGAATGCATGCAGAAATTCCAGTGTGCAGGGTTTAGGGCAATGCATGGCATGGCAGCAGCAGGGCACTCACCAAGCACGCAGCGGATGGACTTCACTGATGGACTTATCTTGGTGACACTGCTCACACACGGCACAGCGGGCGGGGGATAGGGAGGAGGGCATGGGAGGGAGGGACTTAAAGAGCCAACTAAAGACAGCTCGAATGGACTTCAATGATGCGTTTATCTTGGTGGTACTGCTCACTCACGGACAGGGGAGGGGCACATAGGAGGAACGTTTGAGCACATGGGAGGAACGTTTGAGCACATGGGAGGAACGTTTGAGCACATGGGAGGAACGTTTGAGCACATGGGAGGAACGTTTGAGCACATGGGAGGAACGTTTGAGCACATGGGAGGAACGTTTGAGCACATGGGAGGAACGTTTGAGCACATGGGAGGAACGTTTGAGCACATGGGAGGAACGTTTGAGCACATGGGAGGAACGTTTGAGCACATGGGAGGAACGTTTGAGCACATGGGAGGAACGTTTGAGCACATGGGAGGAACGTTTGAGCACATGGGAGGAACGTTTGAGCACATGGGAGGAACGTTTGAGCCGACTCTACAGTCAAATTGGACGAGCTTCACTGATGCGCCCATCTTGGTGACACTGCTCTCACACGTGCACAGGGGGGGGGGGACATGGGAAGGGGGGTGGGGGGCTCACGGGGGGTGATGTTGGGGCGTGGGGAGGGGCGCACGGGGGCATGAGGGGAACTGGCGCACGAGGGGGACTGTGGCATGTGGGGAATCGGGGTGTGCACGCAAGGGAGCGATCTGTGCTGCGTGCAAGCCAGTAAAACAAACGAGTGAATGCTGACAACTCAGCTCATGTAACCCGTGACGTGAACAGCACTGACTGGTGCCCCCGAGCAATCGGGCGACGCGAACAGCTGCACCTCGCAGGAGGAGGGAAGGAAGGAGATTGGTTACATCCCATCCCAGCTTGCTTGGTTAAATCCCAGTAACAAGCGCGCGATTGCTCACCTCATGTACCCGTTGAAAAGGTGTTTCGCCGCCGCAGCACCCGAGCAGTCGGGCGACGCAAACAGCTGCACCGCGTTGCACACCGTGCGCTCCGAAAACACGTCCCACCATATCAGCGCGTCCACCGCGCCCCCGTTCGTCGTTCCCCCGACTTCGGGCACGGACGCGCAGCGCGCAAGGTCGAAGTAGACGGGGATGGAGGGCTGCGCGAGAGAGCCGACGAGCACCACCGAGCCCACGCACACCTTCGCGGGAACCGTCTCGCGCGCCGCGGGCCTACCGATCGAGGCGCTCGCCGCGCCCGTGTTACCAATGGCGTCGCTGCCACGCCTCTCCACATAAACCGGCACCCCCTTTCTCGCGATCGCGCCCCTACCGCCGGTCACGCTTCTACCAGTCGAGTCGCTGCCGCCGCCAGCAGTCATGGCGTTGGCGGCAGGTGCTCCGAGCGACACTCCCACCTCACTTGCTGCGAAGACGTGGCACGGGGAAGGGAGAGTAGCAAGACGCGGAGGGCGTTGCACGGGGAAGGGGGAACGCTGAATTAGTAACCTGAGGCTCGCGAATGTGACGATTCTTTAAATCGGACATAGAGTCGAATGAATATGCAGTTGGAAATTAAATGAGCCTTCGGTGAGCTTTTCACAATCATTGCGAGGGAGGAAGGCGACGAGGGAGGGAGGCGCGCAATAAAAAAACTTGTCACGAGCATTGCGAGAGAGTGGGGAGGCGACGAGGGAGAGGGGGGAAGCGACGAGGGAGAGGGGGGAAGCGACGAGGGAGAGGGGGGAAGCGACGAGGGAGAGGGGGGAAGCGACGAGGGAGAGGGGGGAAGCGACGAGGGAGAGGGGGGAAGCGACGAGGGAGAGGGGGGAAGCGACGAGGGAGAGGGGGGAAGCGACGAGGGAGAGGGGGGAAGCGACGAGGGAGAGGGGGGAAGCGACGAGGGAGAGGGGGGAAGCGACGAGGGAGAGGGGGGAAGCGACGAGGGAGAGGGGGGAAGCGACGAGGGAGAGGGGGGAAGCGACGAGGGAGAGGGGGGAAGCGACGAGGGAGAGGGGGGAAGCGACGAGGGAGAGGGGGGAAGCGACGACGGGAGAGTGAGGGGAGAGAGCGTGAGGGGAGAGAGCGTGAGGGGAGAGAGCGTGAGGGGAGAGAGCGTGAGGGGAGAGAGCGTGAGGGGAGAGAGCGTGAGGGGAGAGAGCGTGAGGGGAGAGAGCGTGAGGGGAGAGAGCGTGAGGGGAGAGAGCGTGAGGGGAGAGAGCGTGAGGGGAGAGAGCGTGAGGGGAGAGAGCGTGAGGGGAGAGAGCGTGAGGGGAGAGAGCGTGAGGGGAGAGAGCGTGAGGGGAGAGAGCGTGAGGGGAGAGAGCGTGAGGGGAGAGAGCGTGAGGGGAGAGAGCGTGAGGGGAGAGAGCGTGAGGGGAGAGAGCGTGAGGGGAGAGAGCGTGAGGGGAGAGAGCGTGAGGGGAGAGAGCGTGAGGGGAGAGAGCGTGAGGGGAGAGAGCGTGAGGGGAGAGAGCGTGAGGGGAGAGAGCGTGAGGGGAGAGAGCGTGAGGGGAGAGAGCGTGAGGGGAGAGAGCGTGAGGGGAGAGAGCGTGAGGGGAGAGAGCGTGAGGGGAGAGAGCGTGAGGGGAGAGAGCGTGAGGGGAGAGAGCGTGAGGGGAGAGAGCGTGAGGGGAGAGAGCGTGAGGGGAGAGAGCGTGAGGGGAGAGAGCGTGAGGGGAGAGAGCGTGAGGGGAGAGAGCGTGAGGGGAGAGAGCGTGAGGGGAGAGAGCGTGAGGGGAGAGAGCGTGAGGGGAGAGAGCGTGAGGGGAGAGAGCGTGAGGGGAGAGAGCGTGAGGGGAGAGAGCGTGAGGGGAGAGAGCGTGAGGGGAGAGAGCGTGAGGGGAGAGAGCGTGAGGGGAGAGAGCGTGAGGGGAGAGAGCGTGAGGGGAGAGAGCGTGAGGGGAGAGAGCGTGAGGGGAGAGAGCGTGAGGGGAGAGAGCGTGAGGGGAGAGAGCGTGAGGGGAGAGAGCGTGAGGGGAGAGAGCGTGAGGGGAGAGAGCGTGAGGGGAGAGAGCGTGAGGGGAGAGAGCGTGAGGGGAGAGAGCGTGAGGGGAGAGAGCGTGAGGGGAGAGAGCGTGAGGGGAGAGAGCGTGAGGGGAGAGAGCGTGAGGGGAGAGAGCGTGAGGGGAGAGAGCGTGAGGGGAGAGAGCGTGAGGGGAGAGTTGTACTGAAGATCTGGTCGACACAGAAGAGAGGGACCCATGCAACCCTGAGAGAGGTGAATCCAGAACGGTTAAGGGTGGCTGGTTTTGAGTCGACTGAAAAGACGCTTGGGTATTCTGAGGCCGACTTAAATATCAACACAGCAGCGACCGACCAAGGCAGGGTTGTAGTAGAGGAAGTGGCGGGTTACGCGTAGGAGCCTCACAAACGCGATTAGTGATAGTTGACGAGGTGTGTGTCACGGCGAGGCCCGCTACTGCATTTATACTATGCTTAGTAAGAGCGCACGTATTCAATACGATTCGCGTCGCGTATTCAATACGGTTTTCGTATTCGATACGGTCCGCGTATTCGATACGGCCCGTATTTGATACTGCTCGTATTCCTGGGGAACTAGTAGAGGCTGCGATGGCAGTGCAGCTCGCGACTCGAAATTCCGCCCGCCAGCGGCGCGCCAAGTACTGTTTCCGGCTGTCCGCACGCCCATATTGAGGGGCTCTTGAGAATAATGCCGAGCCCATAATATCTGCGACGCAACGAAACCTAAGCTGCAAACGCTGCTCCCATGATCGTCGACACGCTACGGTCCGAAATGGCTGCCTGCACTTTGGGTGACCCGTGGACCAACACCAACGCCTGCGTGCCGTGCTGTGCCGTGCCGTGCCGTGTGGGGCGCGGTTGATATGGCTGCTCTGCTGTGCACCCCCCAGCTGCCTGCTTCTTTCCTTGCTGAACTGAAGATACTTCTAGAGAAACTCACGACAAGAATGGCAGACTCAATTGATGGTAAAGGTAATGTGCAGATTAGCTATACATAAATCAAGAGAAGAAATCCTGATTTTCTAAGAACAATCAGACACTACATGAATGAAAGAAACATTCGTGGTCGTAATCAATGTTCCTGATAGAATAGGGGTTGCCTGGGGGGGAGTTTTGGGCGGTGGTGGCTTAAGAAACAGGGCGACGCGACGCGCAGATTGATGTAGCGAAGACGAAAGGGGCCGCGAGAGCTACGGGAAAAGGTTTCTCGGCTTACTTGCTTGGATCACTTAAAGCGGCCATAGGTGTGGCTTTGCAGTGAGCTCAGGCGCGTGTGATCTTGTTACGCGCGGTGTCATGATGAGAGGCCCAGAGGCTGTTTTGGTGGAGCGGGAGGATATTGAGGAGATGGGATGGGATGCTCCGTGGGCGGATGTGTCAAATGTTATAGCCTCTAGTGGGACATGCTATATGGGGTACAAACAGTTAGGGTTAGGCATTTGTACCCCAACACAGTCAATCTAACTCATTCCGCTGTTTTCACTTTGTGAGATGGTATCAGCAGTAGGTTCGCCGTTCCTAGGCCACACCTAGTCACCGCCCTTCCTACCACTTAGTCTCTAGCCTCGGTGCGCCCCCCCTCCCCCCGTTTGCCCTGCACGCCCTGTTACGATACGAAGTTCAATGAGAAGGCATTCCTGTACGCTGCAGGAGCCGACTCTACCGAGTACGAAGACGAGGAGTCAGAAGAATCGAAGCGACACAGCAACCGCCTGATCGAGACCGATGCAGGCAGAGACATTTGAAATGAAAAGAGCGGGAACAGGTTTGAAACTGACTCCCGCGCCGCACGGTTTGAATTTCGCTGCAATAAGGGAATGTACCCCTTAGAGTACATGGCTAGTCTAGGTCGTTTCGCATTCCTTTGTATTTCTATATAAACCCTATGTATGCATGCTATTATCATCTCAGTCATTTTACATTCACTCTGACCTGAGTTCACTACTTCCGCTGCAACACTACCTGCGATCAACCCTGAACGATCCTTTCGCTAAGTCCCACTTCAGATTGTAACATGGTATGAGAGCTACTCAGGGATTCTTCGCAACGTCACTCCCGTAAAATTCGCCGAACCCAAATCTGGCGAGCGGCACACGCTCCAAGACCAAGATGGCCGGAGGATCCGGAGGTCAAACAAATCTAACGGCCGAAGGACAAACCAACCCGGCTGCGACAAATGAGGCGACAACCACGATCGGCACAGCCGCACTCGAGCAGTTATTCGCTCGACTGTCAACTATGGAGAAAGAACTCCAAGAACTGCGCAAAGGCGATGTGGGAACCACTTCCCAACCAGTGCAACCTGGACAACCGGCTGCGAAAAGCCGCGATACCGCCGCGCATGGCTTCTCCCTCGACTCAGACAAATCTGCAACAACTGCCCCCCGTCCAAGCGACGAGACAATCAACTCTGCGCAAGCACGCTTCCTCAGTGTGTCAAAAATTAAGACCACTACCGCATTTGACGGCAAGGATTTTTATACATGGAGTTTTGAGCTGGAGCTCCTCCTACAAACAGCGCAGATCTATCACTACTTCGACGGCTCCTATCCTAAACCGGTGGAAAACACCGAAGACGCCCGGGCTCAATACTACAGTGAGTCACTTATGGCGTATAGCGTCCTGCTGCGCAACATGTCGCCTGCAGAACAGCTCGGCATCCGCTCCTACAAAGAGAGCGCCGCTCCAGCCCTAGAAGCCTGGAAGCACCTCGTTGAGGTATATCAGCCGAAGGATTCCGTCACTGCAAGTCGTCTCCTGCAACAACTCATGGAGACCAAGATGGGGCACGGGGAGAAAGCAAACAGCTACATCAACCGTTGTCGGAACATTCGTGATCAAATTATCAAGAACGGAAGTTCTATCACGGAGGAGATATTCGTCAATTCGTCCTCCAGGGACTTGGGCCCGAGTGGAAGCCCTGCAAGGCGCTACTCCGACAACGAGGACAGCTCTCTGAAGCCGCGCTATGCGCCGCACTGCTGACTGAACAGCAGGACATGGACTCGAGCAGAACGAGTTCCGCGCCACGCCGAGAGCGACTCGCCTTCTACACAGACAACCGAGAAGAGCGACGACAACCAAGGCGCCATTATTGCAAAAACTGCAAAGTCTTCGGACACTCAACGGATCGATGCAAGTCTCGATTCAACAATCGCCACCCAAATTCCACTCACCACAACAACTGGGTCGGCCGACAAGACACTCGTCACCCTCAGCCTCAACAATCAGCTCCCCGTCCTCCTGCTCAACAGCAACCACAACAAGTACAGGGAAGTCAGGTTGGAGCTCCCAGAAACGTGACGGCAAACATGGTGACACGGCGCCGCCGCACCGCCGAACCAGACGAAGAAGACCAACTCCGAGGAGAACTACTCGAGCCGGAAGAAGGATGGAACAACCCCTTCACCGAAAACCACTATTACGGATACGACGAAGACGAACAAGATTGGAACCTGCCAATCACTTTGCGGGAAAGCCCGCCGCACGACAATCAACACTACGTACCTGTAGGATGGAAGGAGGACGAAGACCCATCTTTCCACAGGCGCTACAAGGCAACACTGGTGACTCCGCGACTCGCATTGCTACTACGCAACAACAACACCGATAACCTCAACACCTGGTACCTGGATAGCTGCTGCGGACAGCACATGGTGGGATCAGTTCGATACGTCTCGAACCTCAGCCGCGCCCCCGCAACCTACGTCACCGTCGCCAACAACCATCAGCTGCGCGCCAACGCACAAGGCATCGTCGTCCTGCAATCTCGAGACAGCAACACACACATCTCTTTCAATGACGTGCTCTACGTTCCGGACCTTCGCTTCAATCTCCTCTCGGCAGGACAACTTCGCGACTGTGGTGTCATACTCACCACAGGTCTGGCCACGCGCGACCTCATCCTCACCTACGCTCCTCCCAACACACCGCCCGAGTCATTCAAATACCTCGGACGAGCTCGGTCAATCAACGGGATCTACGTTCTGGACTTTGACATACCAAACTGCCAAGCTTCATCCGACGAACTCGTGGATCTTGTCCCTCTCGACTTCGCCTTCATGAACGAAGAATCGTGGCAGCATCCGGACGGACGGCCATGGATCCGGCGAAGTCCACATCCCCGCGAAATCAATCTGCACGAGCCCGACATCACCGGCCTCTGCACCACCTGCCACACGCCCACGGCGAGCCGCACGGAGCAAGTCGAAAGAGAGTACGCGGCGATCCAGGAGGCAGAAAGCGCTGAGGAGGAACCAACTGGCATGACAGAAGAAGAACTAGCTGTCGCAACTTACCGCATCTTCGGAGAAGAAAACAAACAGTTCGGTCAACAACCGGTGCTACTCCCAACGCCGCGCTCCGACACCCTCCGCTTCATGCTCGAAGCCAACACCAGCACCTTCGATGAAGAAAATCGACCGCGCCCATACACTCGCGAAGTTTATCGCCGCGAAATTGACCCGGCCTGGAAAGACCCTGACGCAGAAGGAGAACTCAGCATCAAGGAAGAACGGGAGAAGGCCAGGGCAGAGAAGAAACAGAAGCTGTACGAGGAACGCGTTGCGGCAGGATGGAGCGAGGAAACCGCACGACGAGGGGCATGGGGAGATGAAGATTACGAACCAGAAGAAGGCGCCACTTGGGGATCCGCTACTGGCGCCTGGGGTACTGCAGCCAGCGGCACGGTTACCACAGGCGGATAGGGCACGGTAGCGCCAGACGAAGCAGAACTAACACAAGAAGAACTGGAGAAAGCAGAACGAGAGATGCGAGCTGAGCGCGGAGAAGAATCTCCCCGCGTCACCATACCCCTCGGGCGACCGCCACCCGCACACTCGCCTCCACGTTCACCCCACCGATGGGAAAGCACCTGGACAGAGCTTGAGGAGGGGAACATACCTCCAACACCAGCACGAGACTCTCTCGGTCCAATCTCTCGTCCAGATCCATTCGCGCGCCTCATCGAAGGCACGAAGACGCCGCTAAATACCATCCCCGACCGCGAATTTCTCGCCCTCTATCTCACCACGGCACCTGCAGAAGGGGAAACAACGGCAGAGACAGAAGAAGAGGGGCCCGAAGCAGAACCAGGAGAGGAAGAAGAACCACCACTACAGATTCCGCAACTTACGGAAGCAGAAGAAGCGGAACAGCACGCCCGTTACAAATGCACCTACGGCATACGTGCCGAAAATGACCTCTGGCATCAGCGGCTGGGCCACCCCTCACGCCAGACACTCGCTAACTGCCTCCGCGCGAAAGTTTTTCCGCCTGGCGCATTGCTGTGTCCTGACGGAACGGAACTACAGAGTGCCACGCCAAACCCGACCACCTGCAATGTCTGTCCCACAGCTGCACTCTCCCACACCGCCTACCCCTCTCTAGAGCCGAGCACTAACCGTTACAAAAAACTGGAAAAGGTGTACAGTGACTTCATCGTACTCACCTGCGACGGACTCAACGGCGAAAAATACACGCTGACCTTCATCGACGCCTACTCGCGCTATGTGTGGATCGCCAACGTCGATGCTCGCTCAAAAGCTCCGGACGTGTTCCGCATCTTCCTCGCGCACGCGCAACGACAGTCAGGGAGGAAACTGAAGATTTGGCAGAGTGATGGGGCAAAAGAATTTCGCAGCCACGAGCTGGAGAGTGTCCTCACTGAGAAGGGGATCAAGCATGAAATTTCTCTCCCCTACGCTCATCAGCAGCAAGGCGTCGCTGAGAGGGTCAATCGCACCCTCATGACCAAAGTCCGCGCCATCATGAACCAGTCTGGCCTGCCCAAGAAGTTTTGGCCTTACGCCATGACCCACGCGGTGCGCCTACACAACCTTCTCTCCACCACTGCCAACAGGGATAACCTATCCCCTCACATGAAGTGGACCGGCTCAAGGGGAGACCCCTCCATGCTGCGAGTTTGGGGGTGTATGGTTCAATCTCGGCCGACCTCGGCCACAATTGGCAAGTTCGTTCACCGTGCGCGCTGGGGAATTCATCTGGGGCTCAGTCACGAGCACAAAGGATGGCTTATCCTTGACATTGACAGTAACGAGATCGTTCCCGCGCACGACATCCTGTTCTACGAACGACTTACCCTGAAGCAGTGGATCGAGGACGAACGCCGAAACCAGGCACGCGGCTATGTCAACAGCGGCCGCAGCTTTGCGACTCCGGAAGATGAAGCAGCAGCAGCAGTTCTGGACCGTGACGATACCCACGAACATCCCAGCGTCCCGCCTCGCCCGCGCGACGACGACGACGATGACAGTGACGACGACCCCGCGCCAGGACCATCACGGCGCCAAGCAGAGCCACACGCCGCAACACCCGGCTACGAAAGCGGAGACGACGATGTGGTGGAAGTTCCCACCACCACAGGTACCAACACCGTGTCAGGCCTCCAGCTTCTCGGCCTGCACGCATCCGTCTCTACCCTCGCCCGGGCCGCAGAACGCAAGAACCCTCGCCAGGCCCTCACCGGCCCCCACGCCAAGGAGTGGCGTGCTGCGATGGATGCGGAGCTAAAGGCGCTGGAATCCCGTGACACCTGGGCTCTGGTCGATCGTGCAGCAGTGAAGGGGAGAAGGATACTGAGCGGCAAATGGGTTTTTCGTCTGAAAACTAACGCTGACGGCACTATCGAGCGTTTTAAAGCCCGGTGGGTCGTACGAGGATACGACCAGCGCCACGGCATTGACTTCGATCAAACCTTTGCTCCCGTCAGCCGTCACACCTCAGTCCGAATTCTACTCGCCATTGCCGCCGCTAAGCATCTGCCACTGCGACAGATCGACGTGAAGAACGCGTTTTTATACGCGTTGGTGGACGCCACCATCTTTGTGGAACAGCCACACACCTACGGAGAAGGTGATCCCAGGGTCTGTCAACTGAAGAAGTCCCTCTATGGGATCAAGCAAGCGCCTCGTCTCTGGCAGCAACATCTGCACAAGATCCTGATCGAGATAGGTTTCAGACAGCTGCCGCACGACCCGGGAATGTACCGCCTCCACTTCAACGGCGACTACATCCTCCTCACCGTCTATGTCGACGACTTGTTGTACACTGGCACCTGCAACCTGCTCCTTAATCAGTTCGAAGAAAATCTGGCAAAGCGCGTGGACATCACCATCAACCACAAAGTCACTCAGTTTTTGGGTCTGAACATCACCTACGCGCCAGAAGCAATTCACCTGTCAGCTTCAAAATACGCAGAGCAGCTGGGGGAGCGCTTCAACATCCCACGCGCACCACTCTCAACCCCCTACCGCAACCCCGGCACCAACTACAAACCGGACAACAAACCTCTGTCCCCTGCCGGACTCCAACTGTACCAGCAGCAACTGGGTTGCCTGCTGTTCGCATCTGTCACATGCCGACCCGACCTCTCGTACATCGCCAGCCAACTGGCACAGTACTCACGCAAGCCAATAGCCGAGAACCAGCTGGACTTGGAGCGCGCCCTGCAGTACTTCATTTCCACACCTGACATCGGGCTCTCCTATTCCACGCTATCAACGACATCCTTCAATCTCAACGGCTATGTGGATGCCGACCACGCCGCTGACCCAGCGAATCGACGGTCCCGAACCGGCTTTGTCTTCCGCTTGGAGCCAACTGGCCCCATCTCCTGGAATTCGCAGAAGCAGGAACTGGTTGCTCTGTCATCGGCCGAAGCTGAATACATCGCCGCGACAGCAGCAGTTCGCGAAGGCCTGTACCTGCAGGAGCTGCTACAGGAAGCGAAAATCCCAACTTCGCCCACCCTTCGTCTACACTGCGACAACCAGAGCGCGATCAAAATCGCGAACAAGCCTGGGTTCGTGAACCGCACAAAGCACATCGCACTGCGGTACTTCTTCGTCAAAGACGAAATCGACCAAGGCAAGGTTGACCTTGCATACTGCCCAACCACTGAAATGGCAGCCGACTTCCTTACCAAGCGGCTGCCACGTCAGCAGTTCAAACACTGCTCTGATCTCACTGGAGTGGTCAAGCAAGTCAGCACCCTTCGCGTTCAGGAATGAAGGGGAGTGTTACGATACGAAGTTCAATGAGAAGGCATTCCTGTACGCTGCAGGAGCCGACTCTACCGAGTACGAAGACGAGGAGTCAGAAGAATCGAAGCGACACAGCAACCGCCTGATCGAGACCGATGCAGGCAGAGACATTTGAAATGAAAAGAGCGGGAACAGGTTTGAAACTGACTCCCGCGCCGCACGGTTTGAATTTCGCTGCAATAAGGGAATGCACCCCTTAGAGTACATGGCTAGTCTAGGTCGTTTCGCATTCCTTTGTATTTCTATATAAACCCTATGTATGCATGCTATTATCATCTCAGTCATTTTACATTCACTCTGACCTGAGTTCACTACTTCCGCTGCAACACTACCTGCGATCAACCCTGAACGATCCTTGTTTCGCTAAGTCCCACTTCGGATTGTAACACGCCCTAGCCATCAGGCCCGCCAGCGCCCTAGCCAACAGGCCCGCCAGCGCCCTAACCAGCAGGCCCGCCAGCGCCTTAGCCAGCACGCCCGCCAGCGCGCTCCGCCAGCGTTTGGAGCCCTATTTGGTGGACATGTGGGTTTAGAGGGTGGGTTTAGGTGGGGGGGTTTTGGGTTAGATGGGGGGTATTGTTGGGGTGTCTCGTTGGGGTGTCTTGTGGGGTTCCCTACGTGCTGTGCTATTGGGGTTTTCTTGGGGCTGTGTTTTCCGGTTTTCTTTCATTTTTCCCTATTTTTCTTCCTCCTCTCTTCTTCCACTCGCTCTCTCTCTTTTTATTCTCTCTTTCCGTGCCCACCAATAATCTTGCGTAGTTTATGCTACATTGTAATAGTTGATACAAAAGAAAAACAAGATTCGACGCTTACGTCGGAAGGGTTGCGTAGAGTTGTATCCCTTGTGTTAGAAACATTATGATATAGAATATTATAAGTATATTTTGCATATTGAAGCAATTCATTAAGTTCTTCATTTTTACTTTAAACAGAACAGAATCGATAGTTCCCTATTATGAAAAAAAATTCTGTAGATGTTTCTTCTTTCAAAATTGTTGTGAGTGTTAATTGATTATGGAACAATTTGGACATTTATGTTCTTTTGGTGATTTTAATAAACATGAATTGTTTTCACCAGCAACTGAACTCTATTGTTCAACAGGTAATTATAGCGGGTTGGGCGTTTGCAACTAGTGCATCTGATGTGTCATCTAGTTGGATGGCGTTGGCTGGCAGATTTTTTTCTCGTTCTGCGCTGGCAATTTTTTTTTCGTTCCTCGTGGTGTATTTCGATTGTGGAAATTGGTCCGTGCCTCATTGGCATAAAAATTTTTGCCAGCGCTACACAAATCCAAGAAACCCTTCCTTTCCCCACTGTCAACTCTCCTCTCTTGGAAGTCCCGTTTCTTGAATTCAACCACCTGCTCAACTCTGACTGACCTCCCCTTTTCTTCCCACCTCAAATACTGTACCTTCCCAACCCCGTCGCCATTCCCTACCTAATGCGTTTTCAGGACCACCTTGCTGTCACCTCTCCCTCACTCCCCGCCGTCGCCTATCCTCACCTCCTCCTCGTCGCCTTTCCCTCCCTTCCCGTCGTCGCCTTTGGTGGGTTGCTGCACGACCACGCGTTGTTTTCTTAGGCAAGGTTGTCTCAGGTGCGTTTCCTTCTCTCTCCGAAATGTCGTATTTTTTCCACTATTCTTGTTAGTTCTCAATGTCGATTGGTCTCCTCTTAGCATTGTGCCTCCATTTTAAGAAGAGAAGAGAGGGAGTGTGAGGGAGTGTGTGCGCACGGGAGCGAGCACGCAGGCGCATAGCACGCTGGCGCCTAACGGGCTGGCGCCTAACGCGCTAGTGCCTAACGCGCTAGCGCCTAGCGCCTGCGCGCTGGCGCCTAGCGCGCTGGCGCCTAGCGCGCTGACGCCTAACGCGCTGGCGCCTAACGCGCTAGCGCCTAGCGCCGTGACGCATAGCGCGCTGGTTCCTAGCGCGCTGGCGCCTAATGCGCTGGCGCCTAACGCGCAGGCGCCTAACGCGCAGGCGCCTAGAGCACTGGCGCCTAGCGCGCTGGCGCCCAATGCACAGGCGCCTAGAGCGCTGGCGCCTAACGCGCTAGCGCCTAGCGCGGTGGCGTTTGCTGCGCTGGCGCCTAACGCGCTGGCGCCTAGCGCGCTGGCGCCTAACGCGTTGGCGCCAAACGCGACGGCGCCTAGCGCGCTGGCACGTAACGCGCTGGCGCCTATCGCGCTGGCGCCAAACGCGCTGGCGCATAGCGCGCTGGCGCCTAACGCGCTGGCGCCAAACGCGCCGGCGCCTAACGCGCTGGCGCCTAACGCGCTAGCGCCTAGCGCCGTGGCGCATAGCGCGCTGGTTCCTAGCGCGTTGGCGCCTAATGCGCTGGCGCCTAACGCGCTGGCGCCTAACGCGCAGGCGCCTAGAGTGCTGGCGCCTAGCGCGCTGGCGCCTAATGCACAGGCGCCTAGAGCGCTGGCACCTAACGCGCTAGCGCCTAGAGCGCTGGCGTTTGCTGCGCTGGCGCCTAACTTGCTGGCGCATAGCGCGCTGGCGCCTAACGCGACGGCGCCTAGCGCGCTGGCACCTAACGCGCTGGCGCCTATCGCGCTGGCGCCTAACGCGCTATCTGCGCTGGCGCCTAACGCGCTGGCGCCAAACGCGCTGGCGCATAGCGCGCTGGCGCCTAACGCGCTGGCGCCAAACGCGCCGGCGCCTAGCGCGCTGGCGCCTAATGCGCAGGCGCATAGCGCGCTGGCGCCTAACGCGCTGGCGCCTTACGCGCTGTCGCCTTACGCGCTGCCGCCTAACGCGCTGGCGCCTTACGTTTGGCGCCTTGCAGGTGCCCTCGCAGCGTGCTGGCACCTTGTAGCGTGCTGGCGGCTTGTGCGCTGCTGCCTTTTTTGCGGCTCTGGCAAATCCTGCTGCAGCCTTGTTGCACACGCTCACGCGTTGCTGCAGTGAGCTCACGCGTTGCTGCAGTGAGCTCACGCGTTGCTGCAGTGAGCTCACGCGTTGCTGCAGTGAGCTCACGCGTTGCTGCAGTGAGCTCACGCGTTGCTGCAGTGAGCTCACGCGTTGCTGCAGTGAGCTCACGCGTTGCTGCAGTGAGCTCACGCGTTGCTGCAGTGAGCTCACGCCTTGCTGCAGTGAGCTCACGCGTTGCTGCAGTGAGCTCACGCGTTGCTGCAGTGAGCTCACGCCTTGCTGCAGTGAGCTCACGCCTTGCTGCAGTGAGCTCACGCCTTGCTGCAGTGAGCTCACGCCTTGCTGCAGTGAGCTCACGCCTTGCTGCAGTGAGCTCACGCCTTGCTGCAGTGAGCTCACGCCTTGCTGCAGTGAGCTCACGCCTTGCTGCAGTGAGCTCACGCCTTGCTGCAGTGAGCTCACGCCTTGCTGCAGTGAGCTCACGCCTTGCTGCAGTGAGCTCACGCCTTGCTACGGCAGCCCGCTTGCTCCTCTGCCGGTGCCTTGCTGCAATTCTCTAGCGCCTTTCTCGCTGGAGCCACCAGCATGGTGTGCTTGACCCCAAGGCATCTGTGCCTCAAACCACGCTTGTGAGTCATCAAATTCGGTTTCCTTTTGTACTTATCATATTTCAACCCTTACTTGGTTTTCAAGTTCTGTTTCACAATCAATTGCATGCTCGTCATTGAAATTCACTCTGTTTTTCGACTACAATTCATTTTCTACTTAATCTGTTTGTTTTGCAAGGTGTGCGAGACGCGTTGTGGGGAGCTGGGAGGGGAATTCGAGAGAGAGAAGACAACGTGGAAAAGGGTGGAAGGAGATTTTGATGGTGGAGGTAGAGGAAGGCAGGCGGAAAGGGAGAGGACGGGGGGACAAGGTAGCAGTGATTGATACATAATAAACTTATTGCAACTCTTTGCTATCCTCATTGTGTATGTATGTGTGTGCAGTGCGGGTGTGTTTGTGCAGGTGTGTGTTCATGTCTTCTCGTTGTGTTTGTTTCACAGTGGGGTTGCATTTCGATGCGTTTGGTTAGATGGGTTGTACTTTTACTTTTACTTTTTACGTGTGTTTGCATTCATGTTTGTGGGATGTGTGTTTCAAAGTGTGGTGTTAGTATGTGTCATGTATGCAATTAGAGGTTGTTAATCGTCTTTGGGGCAGCGGGTTTCCGTTGTTTCAACGACCCCATCAACCTCTGTTGTTACATGATGCATTTTAGCATTCATTTTGAAGCATCTACCCACATTTCATACTTGTTCATCTGTACAATTGCATTCGTTCATGTTGAAGCCAGAATATTATGCTCGGCTGTACCATCCGCCGTATTAATCGACGAGTTGGGACGGTCGAGCAAGTTCATGGTTTCAACATGATACGCACGTGCATAATATTTGGTTTCACATTTATGGATCTCATTCAAGAGTGGTTTTTATTCACTATTTGAGGCATTCGTTTGAACACGGTTATAGAAAGTTCAAACGGGTGCTCCAAATAGTGTATGGAAAATCACTCTTGAAATGATATCCCCAAAATGTGAAACCAAATATAAAGGGTTGCTACGCAACCCAAAAATAGAATAGGGGTCATAATGATTGGTCTGTTTATATCACCGATTTCAACTAAGGATGCAAGCATTCACAGCTTAGAAGCAGACTCGCTCGTTATGCTGGAGCAGGTACGATGCATCTGGTGCAAGCCACCAGGCTAGAATTCTTTGTAGGTCAATGCCGCGTTGGTCGCTGATCTGATGTGGCGTCGTTTCAATGAGTCCATGCTTGCAATCACTCCCAGCCGCCAGAATCTCGTGCGTACAACCAATCAAGTATGGAAGATGTGACCGGGCAACCATATGGGAGGCACATGGGAGGTATATTCGTGGTTGTGCGTGCAACCTGCCTAAAGCTGAGGAGGAAAGGCCTGCCAGCATGGACCATCCCAAACTGAACACGTCGCCCTCTTCGGAGTGTGGGAGGAATGAATTGGTGCGCCTCGGTCTATCATCAGCCGAATGTGTGGGTGAATGTGCATCCTTCTCGAATGTGCGTGCTCATCGAATTTGCTGCTCGACCTCAAGCAAACACTCTGCGATTCGGCTGGCATCGGGCTGGTGAATGGACACAGCTGGACTCGGTTGTTGAGAGCTCACTCGAGGCAGCTATAAAGTTTCTGATTTCAATTAGTTTACCATCAAACGGCTAACAATTGCTTCTGCGTCTTCAGCCTGCTAAATCACCTGAGTGTCTCACAACTCAACCGATCAGCTCATTTGTCTTAGCAGAGCTAGTCTCCGCTCATCAGCTCAAACACCATGGCCACTTCTCTCGCTGCCCGTCAGGCTATTGCCTCCCTCACATTCAGCGCCAGCGTTCGCGGCGCTGCGCTCTCCACCCCTCGCCTCACCACGACCCCCGCCGCCACCACCGTCCCTCGCGGTCTCGGTCTCACCACCACCGCGCTCTTCTCCAAGAAGGCCGCCGCCACCCCGGCGAAATCCGCCAAGGCGGCTACCACCAAGAAGCTTCGCACGGAGGATGGCATCTTCGGCACGTCGGGCGGGTTCGGCTTCACGAAGGCAAACGAGCTTTTCGTCGGCCGCGTCGCCATGCTCGGATTCGCCGCGTCGCTCCTAGGGGAGGCCGTCGACGGCCAAGGGATTCTCGGACAGCTCAACCTCGAGACCGGAATTCCCATCACAGAGGCCGAGCCGCTTCTGCTCTTCTTCATCGCCTTCACCGTGCTGGGCGCGATCGGCGCGCTCGGCGACCGCGGGCGCTTCGTCGACGACGAGCCGCCGCGCTTCGTCCCCGCGAAGCCCGGGAGCCTGCGGTCCGCGCTGGGCCTTAGCGAGGAGGGCCCGCTCTTCGGCTTCACCAAGGCGAACGAGCTGTTCGTGGGGCGCATGGCGCAATTAGGGTTTGCCGCGTCGCTGGTTGGGGAGGTTATCACCGGCAAGGGCGCGCTTGCGCAGCTGAACATTGAGACGGGCCTGCCAGTTTGGGAGCTCGAGCCACTGCTGCTTGGGAGCATTGCGCTTTTGTTCGTCGCGGCGATCAACCCCGGCACGGGCAAGTTCATCAACGACGACGAGGAGTAGTGGCGACATTTGCGACTCCATGTGTGACGGAATAAGTGCGAAAGCACGTGTTTTGTTACATCTAGGGTTCTCCCCGAGTTTGTGTACAGCCGCAAGGCAATTTTGTTTGATTTCGTGTGTTGATATTATTGTAATAGCCCATCAAAATCCATCCAGCTAAAATCTACTCTTCCAGCTACCGTAATCACCCGGACATACCACCCGCCGAAATAGAACACCCCCCGGGTGGCTTGTGCGGGGGGGGTGCTATAGCGGACCTCGTTTCTACTATACCCCCCTTTTGGGCCGATCCGGTATAAGACCCGGGGGGGTGTTATGTACGGAAAAAATTGCTGTTTTCGCCTAAATTTTGCACAGGGACGTGACCGCACCAGCGAGGCTGCTAAGCCTGTTGCGGGACTCCCGCCTCTGTGACTGCATGAATCCTCGTCGAGCGACGGGGGGTGTGTTTTCGACCAATCAGGGCATGACAGAGGGCCTGTTGGAGCTTGCAATGTGGCAGCTTCCACTCGAGGCTAAGGGCGTGTGCAATAGGAGTTCGAACTTCTGTCTAAGTTCGAACTTTTAGCGAGGTTCTACTCGGTGCAAAGCGGTGAATGTTCGAACTTTGACAAATTTCGCCCAAAGTGCACACGCCCTAACGTTATCGCCTCATCCTCGGTTTTGCGCACCCAACCAACAATCTACCACCGCAGCAAGCATGTACATTTTGTTCCCAACCGTTTCTGCTTTTAAAAAAATGTACATTATAAAAAGACCCGGGTGTTATGTAGCTTTTTCCCATGGCAAGACCCCCCCCCTTTTTTTGATGTAGTTATCATAGCACCCTAGGGTGGTATGTCCGGGTGATTACGGTACTTCACTCCGAAGAATTTTGAATGCATGCACTGAATTTGTCCGCACGCAACTCTCTCGTGGTAATGTTCCGATATCCGCGTTTAGTGATTCGCTGTCAGTTTTCAAAGCTCCCACTTGACTCTTCCTCCTGCTTCGAAGCAAACTTGGCATTTTATGAAAGTTTTACCCCTTCTGTTTGACGCAGTAGTGCGATGGGCATGGTACTGATAGGAGACGTACTCTGCCAGTGCCAAGTGACAAATCTGGAAAAAGCTCTGGAACAGAGCAGCCGGATGATGAAATTGAAGGTAAGAGGTACTGTCTCTTATTATGGTACAGGACTGTAGTAATGATGGGGGTGTGCTGTATCATGGAAATCCTCCTTGATAGCTTCGTAGGGGAAATGAGGAGTTGATGAGTGAAGCAGAAGGCTGGCGGGAGTGAACGCATAGCGGTGATTGAAGGAAAGCCTGCTTCCCCGCGCGCGTTTGCGTGAAACTCGACACCCGGAACATGTGGTGCTGTACTTGTATAAATGATCAAACACTCCCCTCAAATTGGGTGGAAACCATTCAATATCTGGAAAAATTACACAACCATACAACGAATTTCCTAAAGTGAATGGCTCAGTGAGCTTAGCTAAGCTTTCCCAGCTCCATCTTTTTCTTAATAGCCTTGTGTCCATGGTAAACCACTGCATCTATGATCCCCGTCACAGTGAAAACCCCTGCAAGCGAAACAAGGGTGGCACGACACGAGGAACATTCACGATGAAGATATGTTCAATCACCTAGATTCAAGAGGTGCACTCGTGTTTGTTGTCACACCAATGCAACGATCGTGCCTAGGAGCAAAAACATTGGGTAGCTGTTGAGATGAACCACACAATCACCCCCTTCTGAGGGCCTAACAGGTTGAAAATTCTGCACACCACCAATCAATGCACGGTGAAAATACAAAATCAGACTCTCACCTCCAATGATCGCGCAGACGTTCGTGAGGAAGTGGAGGAAGGATGTGTTCTGCTCTGTAAAGCGAACCTGAGGTGGGAGCATAAAAA